GAGAAGCATGGCCCTGCTGACAGCCTGAATTTGGACCACTGGAGCTGTGAAACACTACATTTCTTTGAGAAGCCACCTGATTGTGATACTCTCTTATGGCAGCTCTAGGGAAAGAATGTTGGCAAACATCCCCTCGTTTCGTGAAGAAAACTTTCATCCCCTACTTCAGAGAGAAGGCCTGAGACTGGGCGTCCCTTCGCTTTGAGTTTCCTCCTCTCTGTGCCTCCACCTGCACACCGTCTCCCACCTCGCTCCTCCGCTCTCTCCGCATCTGCTACTTTCCCTTGACTCTGTCTGCAGCCTAAACTTGTGTTCTAGAATCTTCCACCCAAAAGGCAAACAAACAAGTAGAACCCCAAAGAGTTCTTGGATGCCAGCTCCTCCCATAGCTTCTATCTCTAGCCGTGGCCCCTTTCCAAAAGAGCAGTCCCTGCTTCCAACTAGGCAGACTCCATTCCAAACTCAATTCACTGCAGCTTGCCTTCACACCCACCACCTTCCAGAAGCTGCTCTGGTCACAAGTCGCCAAGACTCTCTTGTTGCTTAGTCAGGGGACACTTTGTCACCATGCGCCCAAGCCCTTGGTACACTTGGCCTTGCCTCCTTTTATAAATGCTGCATCCCCTTGGTTGGGGACTTGACCCTCCACTTTTCTTTAGCCTTCCCTCCGACTTCCTCTGGACCTCCCAGGGGATCTTCCTGCCGGCCTCTGCCTCCGAATGCTGGGTGCTTCAGGCTCCATTCGTGGCCTTCGATTGCTCTTCAGCTGCTCCATGGATCTAATCAACACCTACACCCTTGTCTTCAGACCACTCCTCTCCCATGAACTCCGGGACCATACTTCCCACTAACTGCTTGATCCTGATGACAACTCAAATCCACCCACCCCACCCGTCAACCAAATAACTCAACCCGTCCTGATGAGCCCCCCACTGCAGCAAAGGGGCTTAATGACTGCCCAGCCCAGAAACCTGGCTGTCATGATGGCCCCCTTCTTCCATCTCCTCCCCACCCGGCCAGGTAGGGCCAGCCTGGCTACACAAGGAGAGTCTCCCAGAGAGTTTTCTAAGCCCAGCTTCCTGGGTCCTACACTTGACCTACTGAATCTGAGCCTCCAAGGATTAGGAATTGGGATTTCAGAGTATGAAATCCAGAGTCTGGATTTTTAGGAAGCTCCCCCAGGGTGCTGTGATGCCTGGACTCACAGGTGGGCAGTCAAGAACCACGGTTCTCTAGCCCAGCCCCGCTTCCACCTCCACTGTCCGATCACCAACAGCTCATCCAGCTTAGGGCAGACAGCAGGCCCTCCCTGTATGCCAATCCATTCTCCACACTGCAACTGGATCCACTCTCCACACTGTAACTGGGGAGGCTGCCAAGAATGAAGGACCTTCCCTCAGCCTCCAACCCTTCAGGGAACCCACCCCACCTCTTGCCCTCAGGACAAAGTCCCAACCCAGGAACATGCATTCCTGGCCCGTTGTCCTTGATGAAGTGACTTCTGCTTACCTCCTGGTCTCACTTCCTGCCATCCTGAAGGACACACGGCTCTGTTTTATGCCTAGCCTATCTTTAGTTCAGATCCCCCTTGCTCAACTTATAAGGCTCAAACTAGACTGAGCTAACCACCGGACTTGTGTACCTGCTACCCTGCAGAGTAAACACAGGCTTTCTTGGTTTCTTTGGCAAGGGCTAGTGATTGGAAGGAGCCCTGGAAACAAAGTGATTATGATTTGGGCGGCTAACAGCAAGGTTCGTAGTTCGAAACCACTGGCTGCTCCATGGGAGAAACACAGAGCTTTCTACTCCGGTCAAGAGTTACAGCCTCAGAAACTCGCCGGGGCACTTCTAACCCATTCTATAGGGTTGGCATGAATCAATGGCAGAGAGTTTGGATTTGGCTTTGAGTTTGATTTGGATAAGAGAAGGGGAGGGAAGGAAAACATAGCAGGAAGTTTCAGTTGATTTGAGGCGATCCTATGGTCTGTTTGAGGGCCCTGGCCAAGAGCTGGGTCTCTATGTGGCAAGAATCCTTGTTCTGGAATCCAAAGTCTGGATCCACAGAAGGCAGGTTTCTCTGCCCTCTTGGCTCTGGGGATTCCCTTGGGAGTCAGGCTCCTCCCTGTTCCATGTCATCCCCCTGGTGCAGTTTGGAACCTCTGGGAAGTCCTAACTCCTTCTGCCTGCCCTGGTTAGCTGTGAACTGCCATTAACAAGGACAGTAGACTCACAGGCCCCTAGGACCACGTCACACTCTGATGCTGAACCGGCTGTACCTGTCCCCTCTCTGGGCTCTGCCCCAACCTGGACTCTGCGGCCTGGACATCAGCACCACTATCCCCCACTCCCCTCACCACAGTCCCACTCTAGGGGTGAACCTTCCACTTGCCCGTTTCCTTTAAGTTGGCACCTTCCCCAACCTGCCAACCACCTATGCACCTCACCCACAGCTGTCTGTCCTCACCTGCTTTCCCTGGGTTAAACCATCGGACTGACACCCAACTGTGCTGCCTTCTGGCCTCCCACCTGGATCCCTCCTCAGCCCTAGCCATAAGCCATAAGCTAATGCCACAGAGGACCCCTTACTTTTGATTGGCAGGGGGACACGACTTGCTTTAGGGGTAGCACCTCTGCTGTGTCCCTCACCCTAGAGACACCAGTCTCTTCCTTCCCCATCAAATGAACTTTAGTCTCTGGCCACCTCTAACTGCTGCCAAAAGCCAAATGTGCAGATCGCACTGCAAAGTGAAAGTGGAGGGGCCCCTGTGGAGTGTTAGGAGTGTCCATATGGTAACAGCAGAGCCTTGTCCACAGAGCTGGCCCTGCCCACACTCCTGCCCAGCTGGTGATGACCCTTCTCCTCACCCCACTCCACCCTGCTGTCTGAGTTAGCTCCTCAGGGCTTCAGGGTCTCAGAGCCTCAGCGCAGGAGCCCTGCCCCAGGTACCTCCAGAAGCCCAAGGTTAGGTAGCACTGATTTCTCCAGCCCCCAGTGGGCCTTCATCCCTCACACTGCCCCTGGACTGGGGAAAATTTCCATCCACCTCAAACTAATGGCTGTTTTTCTTGAGCCCCACCTGGCTGAGGCCGAGGAAGGTGAGCAAGCTGATGTTCAATCAATAAAACAAACCTTCTCCTCCACTACCACTACCAGTTCCCTTCCAACGAATTCTGACGCATGATGTCTGTGTCAAACGTCGAGGGGAACTGTGGTTTTCAGTGGCTGATCTTTCCGAAGGGGATCGCCATGTCTTTATTCCAAGGAACCTTGGAGCGGACAAAAACAGCTAACCTTGCGGTTAGCCACTGAGTACTTAACCCTTTGCACCACCCAGGAACTCCTGACTCCATCACTGTGCTCGCTCTGGGGCTAAGGCTGCAGGACAGCGGGACCAAAGAAAGATCTGTGGGTTTGGAGAAGAATAATCATGGTGGTTACCCACTACCCTTGATTTCCCTCCTGTTCACAGCAACCTGTTGGAGCCTTTCAGAGGCTGTAAATCTTTATGGAACAGATAGCCTCTTCTTTCTCCCTCACAGCTGGTGGTTTTGAACCCCTGACCTTGCAAATATGAGTTTAATGCTTACTCAACAGCTCCACCAGGACTTAGGGATATGCATTTTACAAAAGAGAATTGCAGAAAGATGGGTTTTGGTGAAGGGGCAGGACTTCATTAACCAGAGGAAAACCATGGGCATTCCAGGGAGAAAGCACCAAATCCAAACCAAACTCCTGCAAGTGGGTTCCAGTTCACAGTGATTCTGTAGGGTGGGGAAGAACGGCCCCATGTGGAGCTCCCAATATTTTAGCTCTTTATGGGAGTAGAGAGCGCTGTCTTTCTCCTGCAGAGAGGCTGCTGGGTTGGAACTGCTGACCCTGTGGTTAGCAGCCCAATACAGAAACACTATGCCACCAGGGCTCCCAGATGTAGAAAGAGCTGACAGGTTGTAGAACCGTGAGTTGTACCATCTGAGGCTGCTGGGGAGAGCGCTAAGGACCGCAGTTACGCATCTGTATGACCTGAGAAGAGAAGAGGGGGGGATGCATATCTGGGAGCAATGGTTCTCATCTCTGGGTCCCTCCATCTGCTGGGAGTCCAAAGCCCCAAGGCTCTACAAAACAGATCTCACTGCCCCCTATCCCTGTTTCTGGAGCTCAGCCCTCTGGACCTGCAGTCGGTCTGCAGCTGTGGACAAAGGAATTGGGGCTCTCGCTCACTCTCGCACTGAGTGCACAGCTCAGGTAGTACAATCTCGCGTGATCTCAGGTTTTGCGCACAGCAGTGCCCAGGCTGGTGTTGGTGGGGGTTGGGACTTTCCTGCCACTGACTCTCATTGGGGTGTGCGGAGTGTGTGTGTGTGTGTGTGTGTGTGTGTGTGTGTGTAAATAAATAAATAGGACCCTCGGCCTGGAGGCGAGGGGAACGGCCCTGTACTCTCATAAGGCAGGGCTGAGGCTGGGGAGATAGCCCTCCTATGCCCT